AAACGACATGGTCAACGTCCATGTTATAAAAAAAACATTAGAGGATAAAATGGATTTAATATTGTACTAGGTTATATGTAAAATTATGCAGTGAATATAATATAAATGAAACAAAATTTCCTATATTGCTCTTGATCAAATTGATACCCCACACCCCCACAACCCTAATGTCCATGATACTTAGTCATATTATCTCTGCAAAAAAAAAATACTTTATGTAACTACTCATTTTTAAAATTTTGATAAAAAATAAATTGTTAGCAAAATTATCATTATATTGATGCTAATAAATTGTAGAAAAGTCTTATTTCATCTTTGATAAAATTCTTCCTTTTACCTTTACTTGTAGATACTGTCCATTTTTCATATTTTGTATTAGCAATTATTACGAAAAGCTGTATCCGAAAGCCCGTGCTCATATGATATTATTTTTATGAAAGATACGATTTCAATTATGTAGCTTTGAAACATCAGAATAAGAAATTTTATACAGATATACCTTGTGTCAAGAAACTGATGATATTTTATTTATCTGATGATGAAAACAAGTTGTCTTGTCGATGTTCTATTAATTTGATATGCTTCTAGGAATCACAATTTTGCTTCGTGTCAATAAATCAATTTTGAACTTCGATCTATATTGTATATATATGACATAAATTTATAGAGTTATAATTGTACTGTGAAAATACAATCGATACCTAATTCGTCAATGATAAAAACATCAAACGATTCCACTAGAATTTCATGTTTTGATAATTATGTCGCAATTGGTGAATGAGTGGCTCAAATGAATAATATAGCTTGCGACCTACAACCTTACAACCACAAGATTGTGGGTTCAATTCCTGCGATAGATACATCCAGATATCAAGTATCAGTTATATACTTTTCCTTGAAAATAAATAGCACCTTTCAATTGTTTTTCTATTTCACTCCCTGGACTATCGAGCCCAATATGACGGTTTTAAATCCATATTCACGAAATCTATCTATTTTTGAAGTAAAACTTCTTTAGGCGCGACTAGGGTGTAAATCCGTACAAATGCAACGGAAGTGCGTTACGGCAGATCATATAAGATAAGAGTCTAGTGCCAAAGATTCGTCATTCGCTCTCGATGATATCATTTCTATACGGGTCGATTGTGATTAGTTGTCGCATATGTGAATAGAGATCTATTGTTGTATGCGTACCGGCTCTTTTTTATTTAGCTAGCGATACAACGTCAATAACATTTTAACAACCTCTTGCAACCAACAAAATAGAATCATCTGCGAAGATCAGACCCTAATGGAAATCTACCAATAATTTATACAGACGTCATTACTATTTTACTATCATCATTAAAACAAATAGTGTGAAAAAAATTTCTACTCTATTGATATTTAACGAAATTGACCTACTTTGAGAACAATAGATCACCTCACATAAAATAATACATAGACCGTCTCTATTTACTCGTGGCATATCAGCAAGTAGGTACTTGCTCTTCAAAAAACAATGACTTGAGATTCTAAAGAATTCTCAAACTCGGCAATTGTCGCCTAACAATGTAAAATAACGTCGCAGTGAGAATTCGATAACTCTCCATGACGCCGATGCCAAAGAAAACGACGTTTATTGATATTCGCAGAAAAAGGGGAGACGGGGGATAAATGACATATTTATTTTTTTACTTTTTTATTTTTATCCTAAATTTATTCTTAATACATGCGTACCGGTAAGTCAGTCTTTGTGCATTGATATCAAGCTGGCCAAAGTGGGTATATAATCCGAACCACTAAGCTTCGGTTCTTACCTCAGAGCCATGTCCAAGAAGACAGAAATCATACAAGAAAAATTTAAATTTCTCACATATCAAAAATATACCAAAAATAGTATTGCTTTCAGTCAATATTTGTTCACAATCGAACAATCAATATTTTCTTAAAGTAGGAAGTCACTTATTTTGCTGGTTGGATTGATGACCCACAAAAGTATTGCATGGCAATTATCTTAGGTTGACATCTAATTAGTTTTATTAGCAAAGCTATCCAAAGTAGCCCGAAGAATAGGCATTTTTATATATATATTTATATATATATATATATATATATTCATTAATAGCAATCAAAAATTATAAATTTCTATAAGCTATTGTGCTAAGTTTTACAAATAAACATGCACTACATAAAATTACATACACATATACTTCTATACAAATACAAAACAAATATACAACATGAAAAATTATGTGAAATAGTTTTTAAAGTGTTCAAATCTCTCCATCGAGAGATTTACAAATAAGTGCTAAGTTGTATCATGGGCCATTTTCGTTTGAGTCTTCTCATTGGCGGTGCAAAGATGTAACTAAATCGTTCGTTATTAATAACTTAAATTTTAACAAGTGAGTGTTTTTTCTGTTATTAATAACATCTTGAACAAATAGAACTTGGAGATCATTATGAATTATATATTTGAGACATGCCAAGGAGCGTCTGTTATTATCCTAATTGTTTTTGACTGAATTCTTTGAATCATTGCAATGTTAGATGTCGAAGCGCTGTCCCATATTTCGGCTCCATATGTCCAGATCGGTTTGAGTATTGTCTTATAGACAATTTTGACTTTCTCCCAATAAGCCAGTTAAGCTCTTGGGATTTCAATCTAATTTGTTGAATTTTATATTTTATATGTGTTCTCCAAGTCAATCGCCTATCAAGATGAATTCCAAGATACTTTACGGATTCAGACTTTGCATTTGTCTAGTAAGAAGAATAGGCATAATTCTTTAAGACGACGAACCCCGATTTCCCCTATATGATGCTTGCATTCAGTTTGATTTCAGTTCTGGGATTAATGTTTGTTTATTTACATTGCACAGGGACGTGACGATATGGCGATCGCCTTATCAGCGAAACTGGCGCAAGGCTATACCATGCCGATTTATTTGTGCAGAGCATATTACTTTTTTCTATACTTTTTGATAAACTTAAATTGGATTACATTTTGTTCGATAGAAATTCTTTTAAAGTCAACGCGGGAGATAGGAGGTAGGAGTTTTCTAGCATTGTTGGAAATAACACAATTTGTTGAGACACGTCAGGTAGTACAAAAATAAAATAATGGGTAGTACTGTAAATTCCAACTCGTTTCAAATAGGTGCTATTTTGCCCTATTATAATGGTCTAATTTCAATTGATAACATATTTTCAAGTGAAAGTTGATATCACTACTGCATAATATCAAGATAGACAGAGCAAAATTCGACCCTCTCCACACAAGGCTTAACCGTTATACCATGGAACACCCTTAATTTGGAGTAATTTGGAGTAATTTGAAGTATGCTTTAGTAATTTGGAGAAAAACTTCATTTCGGGATTATATGGGATATGGTGCTCAAATCGAATTTCTGCTTCTCGAATTAAACTCTAATTTTTGCTATTAGGGGGCGACAAAAAATCACAAAATATCACATAGGAAAGGGAGAAGTATAGTGAGATATCAAGTGTATTAATTTTTTACCTGATTTTTTTTAAAAATCCAAACATATTCAAAAAAAAAAAAATTACAATTTTTTCTTGTAACTAAAAGTACACTTGATGTTTGATGGGGGAGGGTGAGTAAATTTGAATATTACCACGTATCGCCAAGGGGGGGGAGAGGTCCAAAAATCCTTAAAAAATCGATCATGTGATTAATGGACGCTCTCTTAGTACAGTGTTACAAAATCTGAAACACATCAAGATCGTCTCCAGAAAAACAAACTGTTGATACTAAAAAGTTATATTAATAACATGGGCAATAGTATTTTTTTACTAACTTACTTCGGTTAATTAATTATTACATATTTTAAAACTTGAAAAGTATAATTTCAAATATTTTTTTTAATTATTATTACTACAGCAATCAGAACTCTTACTATTTATATGTTCTTTAAGCTGTTTGGTTCAACGCTTACGATCTAAGGTATTATTATGAGAGGCAACCCATCGGTTCACCATTAATTTCAAATATGGAGAACAAAATATTTCACTGCAGCCATAAATTACTCTCTTTTATTATGAAAACATGAAATAGCAATTAAATATAGAGACCTATCAAAAGTTGCAAAGTTTAGATTCGGAAATTGAAGATGAGTTTTGGCAGTTGATATTAAATGATTGATTAAATTGGGTAAATGCATAAAAGCCTGACGATGGAAATGGAGTCGACGAGTAAACAAAATTATTTCAGATTGCTCTTTGACGTATTTTCCATTTCAGTGTATTATGAAATCATAAAGCATAAATATTTTTTCAACGATATAATAATATAATATTTTATAATTTATTTAATATTCACTAATTTTATTACACAACATTAAGTTGGACTTCTTATAGTATGATTTCACATAGATGAAATATATTTCACATATATACTTCTCGCTTGCAAAATCATCTGAAGGCCGACTCAACCCTATAGACGAATTAATACATTTTTAAAAAATCATCAGTTGCATTTTGTAGGTTAGATTCTATGTGTGACCCATATCATAACGTTACCATAACATTATATAGTTTGCTATGAACAATAAACCAAAAAAAAAATCTAACTACAAAGTACTACTTTGGAGCCAATTCTCCGATGAAATGGAAATGTTATGGTAACGCTATGATATGGGTCATGCATAAAATCTAACCTACAAAACGCACAAATATTATATAACAGTTTTATCACAAGTGCATCTATCTGATATTGATAACACATACGTGAAGTTAGATTTTATGTGTAAAACGTCTGAAATCGCACAGCTTATACATAGCATTTTGACAGTTCATAATATCAATTCCTACGAAGATAGACCCATAATACAGCTTTACCGTAACATTTGTGTTTTACCGGAGTGTTAGCTCCTTTATTTCCTATAAGAATTTGTCGATATCCTTTACATTCCTCCCCAAGTTTTATTGCCGTTGTTTACATTCGATTAAAATAATATTTCGAGAAATATCTCGTTCCAATAATAATAATGTCTTACCTGAAGACATGAAGTAAGGTATGCGAAACCTTCCGCTCAGTACGCGATCCCTCAATGTCTGCAATGTGGAGCCGTCGAACGGGAGGGCTCCACATACCAGCACGTACAGAACAACGCCGAGACTCTGGAAATATAGAAAAAAATATAAATAGATCATCATTTTATTGTTGAATTGTAGAAACCGCTGTTAAATGGGTATTGGGTTAGCGTCATTTTATCAAATACTACATCTTTATTCATCACAACAATATTGATGACTCGCCAACTTTATAGAAATAAGTACTATGGGTCGCTGTTATTCGCACGTCACAAATTATCTATCTATCTATAATGTAATAAATCATTTTTAACTTCCTGTAGGGTAAGTTATTGTAAGGGGCCGAAAATCGAAATTGAAATTTTTTACATTTCTCTATGTTTTGAAGGTTTCTGAACATTTTGGCATACCTCAGAAAAAATGGATGTGTGTGTATGTATGGATACAATTTTTCGGTCACGCTTTCGGGCGCACGGAGCAACCGATTTAAATGGTTCAAAAAACATTCGATTCCTATTGATAGAGAGATGTGCTGATTAGTTTTTGGCAAAGGCAGGTCTAGCCGTTATGGAGATACGAAGCAAAGAGTGCAGAAAATAGAAATTGAGGTTTTGAGAGAACTGAGCATCCGGTTTAAATGATCTAAAAAACATTCAATTAGTAATGATTGGGAGAAGTGTTTATTAGTTTTTGGCAAAGGCAGGCCCAGTCATTTCGAAGATACGGAGCGAAATGTATAAAAAATGGCAGTTTTTGAGAGAACTAAGCGTCCGATTTAAATGATTCAAAAAACTTTCTGCTTGTCTTAACAATATAATTGATTTTGGAAATAAATTTTTTTTTGTTTTAACTTTTTTTTTTCAAAAAAAAATTTTTGTATATCGAAAATAATTCAGATTTTATTTTTAATTCTGACTATAGTTCTAATATACTTTAAACAAATAATTTCTACTTTGCAATTCAGTTTATATAATTCTTATAAATATTAAACAATGTTACAATATTTATAATAATCTACATATTTGAAAACATTCAGTATTCTTTCGTTAGGGTACGGAAAGTTCCAGCAATTTGCCTTAAGGCACGATGCCATACACCCCACTAATTTTATTTGTAATTAATTTCAGGACATAGTGCACCAAAATACACTGAACAAACAATAAGGGCAATTGAATTGGTATGAAGTTTTACACCAAGTGGGACATTTCTAGTTTAACCCTTTCCACTCGGATGCCGCCGGCAGTAAAATACGCATTAATTCCGCAATTTTCGAGTGGAAAATTCAATACTTGTATTTTCTAAGGTTCAAATGATGGACATAATTATAATTTTATTTTTAATTTTTTTTAAGATTTATAAAATATATATAATTAACTTTCAGAAAAGATTGTTTTCGCCAGAAAATCCAATCTGTTAAATTTATACTTTCTCGACGTTTCAAGTCATTCTGAATCGTTTGACAATAGAATTGAAAAAAGTGTATGAGTGTGTGTGTATGAGGCCATTAATTCCGTTAGGCCTAAAATGTGGTTTAACAAATTATTAAAAATTATTACGTATTACGTGCCAATTTTTTGAGAACACCCACTTCATCAGCTGCCAGTTTTTACAATTTTCAACTTTTTTATTTTTTAATTTTTGTTTTGTATTTTAATAATATTAATAAACAAGTGGTAAACAAATGGATAGAAGAAACATTCATTGCTTTCTTTTACGACACTTTAAAAATGACCTAAAATTCATCGCTCTAAACTAGAATATCCCCTTAAAGCAATGAAAAATTAAAATAACTTCATTTAGAATTATTTAACACTAATTAATATTAATTTAGAATAGAGAAATTTCAATACTCATAATAACGATATAAATTGGCAAGAATACTAGAACTTTTCCCTCTAAATGTCAGATTTCCATCTCCTCTTGATATAACTATAGCACCTGCTCCGAACACAATACTTTTATGGAAATATTAATACATATTTCAGATTTTATGTTTCCGACTGTATGGAATATAAAAGAATAGATTACAATAATCGATGTTTGACTCACCCAGATATCGATTTCTGGGCCCGTGTACTTCTTTCCTTCGAAAACCTCTGGGGCGGCATAAGGCGGACTGCCGCACCACGTTGCCAAGAGTTCGCCTTGGGTGTAGTAATTGGAAAAGCCGAAGTCGGCTATCTTGATGTTCATGTTGGCATCCAGTAGCAGATTCTCAGCCTTTAGGAATTAACACATTTATTGTCAACTTGATCTTTCCATTATTTTATTCGTGATAATTTAAGTTTGGGATAATTAAATCATTACAAAATGGTGCAAGACTGCCACTACTTAATTCAGTTTTTGCTTATATTTCTTATCATTTGTGGACTCTTAGTAGATTTTGATACTCACTTTCAAATTGGATTAACAACTTCAGTAATTAATTATTTTTTATAATTTTCGCTTTTCGAATTGCAGCACTTATTCATGTACTAAATATTGATCTACTAAAACCTTATCTATGAATTTGAAATATTTATAAGGTGAAAAGTTTGGACTCAAAAAGCACACAATTGCCAATTTTCTAATAAATTATCCAGTAAGTTTTGAAACCGAATATTACCTCAGATTCAAAGATAATTATATTTTTAGGACAATTAAAACTAATTTGGGAACGAGAAATATACCTAGATTAAAAATATACCATAGTTACAGAATATAGACTTTTGTTAAGTTCACAGCCGCCGTTTTTTTATAAATAATGCAATATTTAAAACTATTTTGTTTTTTACATTTAAAAATAAACTTTATTACACCTTATTAACGTTGACTGACTCTCCAGAATTTTTGTTATATTTTCTTCTCTTTATTATATTTTTTTAAATCCTTTACTTTTTGCATGTTTTGGACATAAATTTTTATTTCTTCTAAAATCTCGAATAATTCATGTTTTAATTAGAAATTAGGATTATTGGCGCTAACTTTTTACTTAATTTTCAAAAAAATCTTATAATTAGAAAATACTGATAATCTTGTATACTGAAAAGGCAAATTGAAAAATCACCATTCATACTCTGCAATCATATATATTCTACCAATAGTAAAAATCAAATTAACAGCAAATCAGTAGCAAATTAATGAGTTTTAATTACAAATTGGGATTATTGACGCTAACATATTACTCCAATTTCAAATAAATCTTAGAAAATCTTCTGAAAATTTTGTTCGGATACTGAAAATCATTAAAATCGAAACTTTAAGATAAATTATTAATGCTCTGCAATTATGTACGAGGTGTGTTCAAAAAGTACCCGGAATTTTTAAATTTCGCGGGTCTGGAGTGTCTGATTGTCAAAATTTTTTTTTTATTGTGTTGGTATACATGCCCCTAAAGTATGATGAAATTTTCAGCTATATTCACTGTTTACTTTGTCTGTGGTAGTCGCTAAGGTTCGACGTGTTTTTTGAGCTCGGCGATTTTTACAATGGAAGAATTGAAAAGTCAAAGAATTTGTATTAAATTTTGCGTAAAAAATGAAATAAAGTGTAACAAAGTGTGTGAAATGTTACAAAAAGCCTATGGTGAGTCTGCTATGAAAAAAACAAGTTTCCAAGATGGCCGCGAAGACGTTGAAGATGACGAACGCTCCGGTCGACCCAGCACGTCAACAAACGATGAAAATGTGAAAGAAGTGGAAAAAATGGTTATGAATGATCGCCGAATCAAAATTAGAGAAGTTGCTGATGAAGTTGGCATATCAATTGGCTCATGTCATAACATTTTTTCAAATGTTTTGGGCATGAAACGAGTGGCAGCAAAATATTTTTTTCGAGATACGAACAATTCGACATGCGAGCGTGCTTATGGAACGAATTAAGCTCGTAAGGCAGGGCACCACTGTATCTAAGATTCAAAAACATAAAAAAATATAAGCAATAAATAAAATTAGTAGTAGCATACATGCAATATACGTTGAACTACTGCTAAAAATTTAAGGATAGTGTTTGTACACGTAGTTATAAAATTTATTAAAACTCTTCTTCGATAACTCAGGTTGTTGGGTTATAATTTAACTCTTGTAGCTGTGGACTGTAATAAACACTTACTATACATGTTGTTTCGCGGACTTTACTTTTAGAAGTGTCCAATTAGTTCCATCAAAACTCTCCGCTACCCCCAGTTACCAGGCTACCAGGGGTAGCAACCATCCCGTGTAAAAGCTAATGCCATGAAGATTGTCACATTCATGGCCAATATAATAAAACGAAAATGCGTCTGAACATAGTATATAAAATATTATATTGTATATAAAATATTTTAAATGATTAATGTCTAGTATTAGCATAGCATACTTAATAAAGTCGAATGGAACTTTTTTAAAAACAATCACTTCAATAAATACAAAACTTCTTTTTTTTTTAATGTCGAGGGGATGTCGAATAGGGGCGATGTGAGAGCAAAAGTTCAATGTTTTGAAGTATTTCAGTTATTATATCTATGAAATTAATTTCTAGTCTAGAATGTTATAAAATAATTGAATTAGGTCACCTTCAGATCTCTGTGGACGACTCTCCTGGCGTGGCAGTATTCGACAGCTGACAGAATTTGCAGAAATTTACTCCTCGCCGTGTGCTCGGGCATTCGACCGTAACGAGCGATGTAATCTGTGAGGTCACAAATTTTAAAATTTTATTAGAATTTGCACATTTGGCATAAGTTTATAACGTCATCGTAGAATTAAAATTTTACATCTACAGTAATAAAATTCCGGACAAATAATGTTAAAATAATTCCATCGCTTATGACGTATTTGATAATAAATGGAATTCATCACTCTAAATTATTAGAATTGTAGAGAGTGGAATATTATATAATTCTAAGCAAATATATAAACTTTTTTTCTTCATTTATTTTTGGTAATCTTGATTAATAACATCTTAATTTTAATATAATAATAGATTTTAATTTTTTATGCATTAAATATCTACCTAGTGCCATTCCAATGTATGAGTGGATACTCATAAGGTATGAAACAACTTTACAATTTTTTTTTTTTTAAATTACATGAAGATTAACATTATTTGATCATATCCAATAGCTGATTTTACCATGGGCTTGCTTTCTAGCAAAGCACCAATAACAATAATATTGCCAAAATATATTTCTAAAAGTACTCATAATTGCTAAAGTTTTATTAACAAAATCAATATTGAAAAATAGAGATAAAAATCTAGGATTAATGTTACTATATATTGTAGTATTTTTTAAACATCATTTTTATAATTAAATTTTGTATATTTAAACAAAATTACGTGTATTAACATTTATAGTTAATACTGAAGTTCATTTAATATCTCAAGTGTTAAAATGCAAAATATTAACAAATGTGATATACATAAAATATTCCACTTTCTCTTATGATTTTTGGTTTTAAATAAATATTTTATTCTTGGGATGTTATTAATCGAAAGTACTTCATATTTCGATTTTCAAAAGTAAAACGTCTGAATTATGCATAAAAGGACAAAATTTAATATCCGGTTAGTATGACACTGAGCAATTTCTACATTATGTTAAAGGATAAATTCTTGAATGTCATCGTTAAATCATAATAAAAAGCTGAGCTTTAAGATATCAAAATAAATGAATGAATATTTTATGATTATGAGGCATAAGTCAGGATCAGAAATTGTCTAACGTTATGATTGATGTATAAAAAAATTCAATATTTAATGCAAAATGCAAGATTTGTTACAATTAAAGATATTGCACTGATTATCATTGTGATCAAGCTTTTTGGAATGAAATCAATGGCATTATTATTTTACAAAATCAGTAGTCAAATTATGAAATTATTGTTGCATTTTTAATAAAAAAGGTATTCTTTATTTTTTTACCTCTGTATTTCATTTTTTTTAATTATATTTATTTATTAATTGAGTATGATATAGAATAGAGTAGATCTTTTTAATTTGATTCAGTTTGTGGAGCCAAAAACTTTTATATATTGTGCATTATAAGTATTTTTTTCTAATTATAATATACATCCATTACAAAATTTAAAAAACTATATATTGCTAAAACGTGACTAAGAATTAATCATATGATTTTCTGGTTAAATATTTTATTGACCGTAAAACAGAGGTTAAATATTCACGGCAAGTTATGGATTTTCTTTTATATTTATTGGATCTATTGTGGATTTTAATGACTTCTATTATAATAATGTCAAGCAAAATGCAGTGATTTATAATACTTTTTGATAAATAGCAATAACACATTATATCTTGAAGAAATATTGTGTTGAAATACAATGCAAAATAAAATTTTGTTGAAACCATATAGTATAAAAATGTAGAATATAGTATGGGAACGATATGTTTTAATTTTCTTTATTATTTTAAATTTAACAAATTTTGTCTTCTACGTGTTGAAGGAACAAAAACGTCAATAAAAACAATTTATGAGGCAATGATTCTAGAACCTTTCTTTTTATTCACATTGCTTTTCATACTGTTGCATATTTTACTATATGTTTGAAAAAAATTATGATCTCAAATTTTTATATTTAATGACTTAAAGTATTTTTTTTCTTACCGAATATTTCACCTTGGCTTGCGTATTCAGACACTATGTAGATCATATTTTTCGTTTCCATGACCTAGAAATAATGAAAAAACATTATTCTTTTGATGGACATGGAACGTTTGAGGAAAATTATTGGAGGTATTCATAAGACAAATACAAATAAATATACATACATGTATTTAATCGGATTATGATATATTCAATAAATGTGGGAATGTAGGTACTCATGATTATACAGATCATGATACACTTGGGTAATAATGACTGTGGAATCGCTCAGTTTTCTCAGTTTCTATTGAACCATTTTTCTAATGGTAATTTTCTACTTGTATTTTCTCATAAACTGAAGTCATTAAAATATTTTATCAAAAAGTCATGATGCTAAAGTTACCAATATCTTGTGACCAAAGCATTCCAATGCCCCTGCGGGGTTGCCAACGGAGAAACTTTATAACAATTTGCTATAAACACTTAAATAACTAAAAATAAAAAAGCATAATATTGTCCATTTGGCATAGTTTATTTTATTAAACATCATTGTATCAATTCGCCATAGTTTTCTCTCAATATAATAAACACAGCTTGTGGTATTTTTAGTACCAACCGCGGTCGGTGGTTAACTTTTCATTTGGCAACCGAAACACGAGCGTAGATGTTTGTAAAACATCTGCAAAATTGCAAAGTGACACATGTTAGTTCCTTCATTATAACTAGTTGTCATATTTGATTGCTCCATTAAAATAAATGAAGCCACAAATACACAATCCGCAATTTATAACAACTGCAGTTAGTGTGGTGAACTAATTTGGAGGTAACCTTATTTGTTTTGGTTGCTCCAAAAGTATAAAAAATGTTTCAAGATCTTCAATATAATTCAAAAAAGCAATTCAATATATTTCGATTATCCTTATCCAGTGTATCTGTGTCGATTCTTATATTTCGTATTTTACGCCCAATTCTTATAAATATCTTATTACTAGAATCCCCTAATGATCGCGTCCCAGATGCTTTCAGGAAATGTTATCAGAAAGACAGGCAGTATGAAATATTTATTGTAAGAAAATATATGTTTTGTGAAAGACATTTATTGCTTATTTTAGCAGTATCTTGAGGCAACTGAAATGCTTATTGGGAATTCTTTGTCACATTCCTTGAAAAAAAAGAAGAAAAATCGAGAAGTAAATATCTTGAATAAAATATAAATTATTCAATAGGACGTGACACATGAGGTATGATTTTTAGGCATCTGTAATGGATCAATAAAATCTTTTAAAAGACATTTTAAAAATAAATTCAATTGATTAAAATAAATGGTACATAGTAATGCATTAAGGTTATTTGTTAATATTTTGCGATTTGTGACCAAAATAACCACCATAACCATGAAACCAATTGTTTCAAAATTTCTTATGTTACGGATAATCTTTTGTTATCAGTATACCATTTACTGAAATTCAAACGTTGTAATTGAAGTTCAACTTATTCTAAATTGTTGAAATTTTCTTATTATATGCAAACATCAAAAACCATTTAAATCATCTAATTCGCCAGTCAGAAATATATTACACTTCTAATTACTCTCTTGGCATAAATTGCACGTTAACGCCTACGCAGTAATTCTAATATTATATATCTTCCAAATTTATCATGAACAGTGCATGTAGGTAATCAGGAACAAAAAGTTGCCCGAGCAATAAATATCAATCAAGACTCATCAAAGTTTGTATATGAGCTTTGCAAAAATTTATGAGCAATCTCACTTCGTAATAAAGCTTCTTTTTGCAATGAACACGATCCATTGATGTGCTAGCCAAATTATTTAAGAGTAAACATACACAGACGAAAAAGTTTTCTAAACATATCATTAGAATAGTCATCGCATAAGTTAAGTTGCGAGAAAAGTAATTTCGAATAATTTATACAAATATCATAAACCTATATATGAGTTTAGGTAGTTAGAATAACAATGATTTTCAAAATTATTGAAAATTTTACGAATTTTTTTGGTGTATATTGTATATGATGTTCTTTCAGGAAGTATTCTGGTCAGGAATTTTTGATAAAACTATTTTTTTTTTGATATTAGCAAAGTTTATTCAAAATTTAGTTTGCTTTTAGAGATAGCTTTTTGAACACGAAAATCCTCCTCTGTTTCCTTCCTCTGCGACACGCATTTTTCTATTCTATTTAAAAAAATCGAGAATATCCAATTAAATTGTAACAAAAAATTATTAGCAAAGAGTAGCCATTTTGTAACAAAAACATTTTTTCAACTTGTCCGTAGTTCATACATCATATGTATATATATATATATATATATATATATATATATATATATATATATATATATATGTAATCTGAGTGAATAGATAGATATTAATTTAGAAATATGAACAAACACTCTTTTTTGCACTAATTTATTAAATAATAAATTTTCAAACGTTTCGAGACTAGGTTTGTCTCATCATCAGTGTGTTATAATTTAAAATCTAAAATATGGAAACCTAAATTAGCATTATGTGTTATCCGTTACAAGTCGTTCATTCAACAAAGAAAATTCAGACTCCGGAGATTGTTGGTGGGGCAATATAATGAACGACTTGTAACGGATAACACATAATAATAATTTAGGTTTTCATATTTTTAAATAATTTTCCATAGATTTTAAATTATAACACACTAATGATGAGACAAACCTAGTCTCGAAACGTTTGTAAAATTATTATTTAATAAATTAGTGCAAAAAAGAGCGTTGTTTGTTCATATTTCTAAATTCATATATATTTAGAACATAGTTAACATTGGTATATTTCTACAGATTATTTGGAGGGCTGAAATATGTGTATGGTCAGATGCCAATTTTTTGAGACATACCACTTCAACACCTCCTAGAAATGATCTTTCATGACTATTTATGATTTTTATTTTTTTTTCTAGAATCTCAAAACTTAAACTTAATAACCTGTAAAAACAAATGAAGCAAAAATATTATTTGCCTTTTTACGTCCATTCAAAAATTGAATAAAATTCATGTTTCTAGGCCAGAATACCCCCATACTATAGCTTCTTAAAAATATAGAATATTAAAATCTAGTTTTTTTAAATGTATTTTAGTTAATCCTGTAATCAATAACTGATATCCAATATCTTTCTATTACTCTCTTCAATATTGACTGTAGAATTCGCTCGCATTACTGTCTACTTTATATAGTTCTAGACAACCAAAACATTATAAAAAGTAAATGTTTATTGTTCCAAGAATATTTTTTATAAACTATATTTAGTTCTCCAAAAATGACCTCGCCATGAAACAAATTTCCATATCAAACGGTCCCACACAAACGTACATGCATCTAACAACTTGCGGCTATTATTTACCTACCTAGATTAGTATTGTAATTACGTCAGAGATTTTTAGAGTCCTCTAATGGTATTGCCATTGTACATATTCTAGTATCAACTCCACCAGTCCAACGATTTTATTTATAGAAATAGAAACATGCTAAGTATAGAGCCCCCGAGGAAAATCTATGCATAAAACATTTCACTGAATATGCTATAAAAGACATAATAATGTGACTTGCGTCAAGATAAAATGATTGTAGGTACACTTGATTGATGCAAAAATATATTGCTGAGCTATAACTTCTATGAAAAGCTATTATTTGCATAGAGTTAATTAGAAAACCTTATCAGAGCTTTGCCTTTGCATTGTAAGTAATTGCGTTAATACTCTACGTAGAAATGCTTTTCATGGACAAATATTAAATTATATATCCTATAACTTTTTTTAAAAGAAACATTTTTTGATAATTTTTGATTTTTTTTTTCGATTTTGAATCTTATTAGTTTTTAATTCCTATTCATGTTGGTTGATCTGGTACTATCGAAAATAACTGATTTTTGACTCACAAATAACATTGTTTAAAACTATTTTTTCTGGATCTCCGAAACCTCTGAACCTGCCTTTACAAAAATGTAATCATTTATTCATTACGTTAATACATGTGAATCATTCAAATCGGATGCTGCGTTCTCTTAATTGCCATTTTCTTCACTTTTTGCTCCAAAACGGCTAGACCTGTTTTTGTCAAAAACTAATCGGCAGGTCTCTCCATCAATATGAATCGTATGCTTTTTGAATAATTCAAATCAGTTGATCAGTGGTCCCGAAAACGTGAATGAATATTTGTATCCATACATACGCATTCACACACACATATACACTCTCATATACTCTCACATACATCCATATTTTCTAATAATGAGGTATGCCAGAAACCTTTGAAACGTAAAGAAATATGAAACATTTCGATTTTTGGATGATTACCATAACTTGCCCTACGAGAAATTGTTTGAAAATTCAAAATGACTTGAAACGTCGCGAACACCTATAAATGACATCTCGGATTTTCTGGTAAATTCATAATATCAGGAAGTTAAAATATTCAAGTGCAAGAATCTTTGCACACATATGATGTGAAACATAAGAATATGCATTTATGTAAAACTATAATATTTTATAAATTTTCAAAATTTGAACATATATCCATTTAGAATATGCTGAAAAATATGAGATCTTCTTTCATATTTTTTACATTTACATTTCATCAAAAATATTTCTTTTTTTCTCGAGTATTTGTTCTGTGCGGCTTCATATTGAAATATAACACTCCTTATTCATATGCAAATTCAAAATCCGTATAAATTAATCTTTTGTTCAAACATTCAAAGAGCTTCAATTCTAATTTATTCATAATTTGAAAACCGATTTATCTAAATTACCTAATTCGCGAAACGGCGAATCTTTCATCCGCAAGCAGACTGTTTGCACAATTGCGCCTTTCTTACAATGTGTATTTGATTTGTTCATATGATGATCAATCATAGCTCGCTTGAATAAATTTAATTTCATATTTCAAAGAGTCTTGTGCAAACATTAAAATTTGCACGGTAATTTTCGACTATGACAATTATACTTTGCTTGCGTCAAGAGGCAATGATGCGCGTCAAAGCGGCGAACCGCGAGTCTCTGCAATGATTCTTGCAATTGTCTTTGCGGCAAAGGACTAT